AATGCCCTTGCAGGTGCATCACAAACAAAAGCCTTTATTTGTGTTTTGATAGCCGTATCTTTGAACACTATTCCATTTGCCTGAAGTTTTGTGTACTCTGTTCGGAAATTTTCCAAGAAGTAACCTACAGAGTTTGGTTTCTTTTCTCCATAAAAAAGGGATACAACAAATGGCTTGTAATTATCAAAAGTACAAATAATTGGCCAAATCTGGGTTCCAGATGACTTGAAAAGTGGAATTCCATCAATGTTTACAAGCAGGTCAATGCGATCAGGAATTCTCTCACTTGTTGACATCTGCAGAGTCTTTATTATCCCTGCTTCCAAGCCGAAATATGTGTATTTCCCTCCGCACCTATTCTCAATGGGGATTTCTCTTGGTGTTTGCAATAGAGTTCTAGCATCTTTTGGTACGGGGATATCTTCATCTCTCAATATTCCTAGTAACTCATTAATGCTAGCTCTTGTCTGATGATTTTTTGTTGCCCATTCAGCTAGCTTTTCCCTTATATTCGACGAATCGGGTACAGTCAGACCAGGAATACATGTATCATCCTCAGAATCAGAAGAGCCGTCCCATATTATTGAACAGTTATCTGAATCATCTCCTTCATGTCCACTGGAATATTCTGTTTCTGTAAGTACATTTGAGGAAGAACTATCAGATGTAGGTCTGATTTGTTCATGTTCACACTTGTTAACAACAGGTGCCACGTGCACAATGCTTTCATCTTCACTACTGGACTCCAATTCAACAGTAACTGCTGCATTCACTTTTCTCCAACGTCGCAAGTAAGCCATTTGATCACCTATAAACACAATGTAAAATCATGCGTCATGCTTAAACTTAGTACATTAGCGATTACTGAATTATACTAAATGTGCTAACACTTATTTTTGTTTTTACTTATCAGCTTCCGTGCTTTTTAAATGTATGCCATTTAATTTACTTTCAAGTTGTCTATTTATAAATTAAAGCACCAATTTTAAAATTGACAAGTAAATGAGCTGCGCATATGCATAGATAATTATTTTGTAGAAAATAACTATAATTTATCATGTTACAAATTAAATCCTCAATTGGTAAAGTATAATATCAAGAAGAATTTTTTTATTTACATCGTTACCTGGTACATTAATATATACATTATGATTTGATTGTCACCAATTATTATGGGAAATGTTAAACATTTAAAAGAACTAATACTTAACATTATAAACTTGGTGCATCAAATTCTGCATACCAATATATATAAATTTAGACCTTATTTACGAGTTACCTCCCTTCTCAATGTTACTTGGACTATTATGCCTGTTTAAAATTTACAAACAAACAAACAAATACGTACATAACTGCATAATGCACAGGAATCAATCATAGTCGACCATATATAGATACTCAATGATACTGCCAGATAGAGGTTGAACAGTCATATATATTTGTAATATATAACGATGCACATGCCATGGAGCTCGATCGCCATGCGATTACAAAACTATTACGTAGAACACGATACTGCAGTATTTTTAAGAATATTGAAGTAATTGGAAACTAATCCTAACCTAACTCAGCAAAGTCATATGATTTCATTATGATGGCGAAATTATTACAGTAATGGCAAATGCCAGTTCACTTTACGCGGTACGCGCGAGACAGCAGTCAATTCTGAACTCGCCCATAACAGCATAATGCATTCAACGACATGCATGTAAACAAAAACAAATGAAACACGTGTTAGTGGTCACACTAGGCTAAGTTGCGGTAATTGATTGGAAAACACAAAAATATGAGGGTTAGATACCTTGAAATTGTAAAAAGTGGAGGAACAGCAGGGAAAATGATAATATATTATAGCTGATTCACTGGTCAGTCTTGGTCAGCGATGGTCAACGAACAATGGGACCGGAAGTAGAAAATCGCGCGCAATATTTCTATTATCGAAATGTAAATGTACTTAAATATATTTAAATACAATCGACCATACATTTGATTAACTTTTTAATTTAAAATGAACTACGTGCAAAGTAATATTAATGCATATGTATGTACTGTGTTGAGTTGTTTTCGTGATTTGTAGTGACCCCTCGCGGAGAGGAAACACAAACAAAGGGAGATAAGCGGTTTGTCTTAAGCGAATTAAATTGTCCATGGCACATTTTCACTCCGTAAACGTATCATTTTAAGACTACAGCTTGTAAAGCATGATCCTGTAACAGAGACATACTTTAATAACGTGTATTTCAATTGTTATTTATTATTCATAATTTTAAATAACATGCATTTCAATATTTATTCAATACATGCATAAGTTGGGGTACGACCTAAACCAGACATTGTAACGATGTCAGTTGCAGACGTCGGTATTACGTCTAGAAAAAACGTCCTTCCGACGTTAGATTAAGGTTGCCGATGTCGCGACCACAATACGACGTCCTCCCGACGTTAAATTAAGGTTGCCGACGTCTTGACCACAATACGACGTCCTCCCGACGACTATACAACGTTTTGTGCCCACTGGGCTATTACTCATCCATCTGCTTGTAAAGAAACGGCGGAGATCACATCACAGCCTAATGGAACAGTCGAGGACATAACGCAGCATATTACACTTCATCCTTTCAGTACAGAAACATTTAAGGTCACACAGCATCATATTTAACATCGTTCTGTCAGTACAGAAACAGCAGAGGTCAAACAGCAGCCTATTACACATCCTAGTGTCAGTACAGAAACATTAGAGGACACACAGAAGCCTAATCAGGCTAATGGACACCCTAATGTCGGTACAGAAACCGCTGAGGTCACACAGCATCATATGTAACATCCTTCTGTCAGTACAGAAACAGCAGAGGTCAAACAGCAGCCTATTACACATCCATTTGTATATTTTGTTCCAAAATGGTTAATTACAACTCTGTATATATATGTTATAATTTGTGTTGTGTTGACAAATTATAGGGTGGTGTAACATTAGAGTGAAATCTGTTCACAGACTCGGGAATTTCTGTTCACTGGCCCGAGCTTGACCAGTCCGTGGGGGTCACCTCTCTCATCTGCATATGGCTCCCATTGGTCAGTCTTATCAGGTGGTTTTGAGTTAGCGTCCCTTAAAATTTTCTTCGATCTCTTTTAAGATCCCGAGATGACAGGATCGTTTTTTATTTGTCTTGAAAAAAGTTTGAATACCCTAGCAGAGATTTGAATGAACTTACTAAGTTACTAGATTATCACGCCTGAATTATAAATATGACGGTATCTCCAGACTCCGGGGACTCGGCGTGAATCGAGAAATCAGTGTTAAGAAATCACAAACTTATCCGCCTGGAGCAGAATTCTGTAAAGATACTGAATTTGTTATGCAAGTAGTCTCATCGGCCGTCGTAGGCCTTTCATTGCTGACTTTGTGTATTCTGATCAGCTGTCAGTACGGGGTGTTCGATTCGGTACAGTCGAAATCAATCAAAACATTAATTTCTGTTGGAGTGATTTATGTTGAAATGGCCAGGCCTAGTCGAGGGAAGAAGTTGGACTATAAAGCTCTACACGAGGGAGTAGCACAGTCAAAAGAGGAAGACAATTCAGAGACCGAATCGCTGGACTATGAGGAAGAGAACAGTGCGGAAACGAACGCGACCAACGAGGAAGCCAAGTCAACTTCCGGTAGCAGCTCAAACGAAAATTCCGATGATGGTGAAGATATGTTCGACACGTGTGGTCACGGCGAACAGTCGAACGAGAATACAGACATTATCGCCGCAAATAGAGAAATAGAACAACTACGCAAGCAGGTCAGAAAAGAGCGGAAACGACGGATCCTCGACGCCAAACAGCTGGAAATTGAGCACCTGAGAAAGGAGCTAGCCAACATTCGCGTAAGTCGGTCGGGACAAACCCGTAGTCACAGGGACCGTGATGGAATGAAGGCCACGAGAGACAATGATAAAAAGACTATGAAAGGTACGGCATGTAATGTGTCTATTGATACTGATTTTAAAAAGTTGAGAGAGTTGAGTGAGGTGTCTGAAAGGTCAGAAAAGAGGTTAAATGCCTTGAAGTTATTTGGAGAGTCACTGGCTTCGTCCAATTCTGATGAGAATTCTGATAGTGATAGGGTAAGCAATTCAGGGTCTGTAAAACCAAAGTCTAGTTCCAAACGTTCTGGAATAAAAAGAAAATCTTGCGATTCAGTTGCCTTCCCTCAAAAGTATCCACACCAATTCTTGCAATTTGAATATGTCAATGAAAATATACAGTTTAACGAGTTGTCCTTTAAGCTGTTTGTAGCAGGCGAATTAGAAATCATATCTAGTAATAAGTTATCTGGAAATGAAAGAGAGGGAAGAACAGAGTTTTTGAAGCGAATAGTTTACTATTCAAATATTTACGAATGGAAAGCCCTGTTGTCTTTATACGCTGCCTGGCTTAGAAAAATCGAAATTGGGGAAAAAGATTGGTCAGATAACCCAGCTAGTATTGAGGTGCCAATCTTGGCTAGACATGTCCTGGCTAAGTCAAAAACCCCAAATTCCCGGGGACAATTGTCGTCCGATAAGCCCATGGTTTGGTTTTGTTCTGCATACCAAAGAAACAAATGCACAGAAAAGGGGGATCATGAGGGGGAGGTTATGGGAGTTAGACGACATGTGGCTCACATTTGCGCCGCTTGTTGGAGGAAGGACAAAGTTAAAAGAGCCCATCAGGAATCCTCCCAAGAATGCCCCCATCACATCTGACTAGGCCCAGGGGGTAGGAAATCTCTGTCAAATTTTAGAACAGGGGAAATCTCTGTAAACAAACCCCAGCGACACGAGGTTGAATTTTTTCTGCCCCAATTTGCAAAGGACAAAAGTCATATGACGGATGAAGGTAAGGAACCAGAGTTAGTCACATCCAAAAACCCGATAGAGCAACATCGTAAAATACAGGAATCAGGTAGGTGTAATTTTGAAAGGTGTCGGTTTCAAGTAAAATCAGCACTTAACATAGAATATTTTCGAGCTATGTTGACCGAGTACAAGGATCAGGAATTGTGTGATTTGATAGAATTTGGTTTTCCTTTGGGATTTCACGAGGATATCAATGCTCCGGTAGGTATTCGGCCACATGATACTGAAAGCGCATGTACAGAGCATTTCGAATTTGGGCCACAGGACATCACAGTCAATCATAAGGGAGCCATTGATTATCCAAAACAAATGGATGAGTATCTAAAAAGGGAGGTGGAGGCAGAGGCCATTTTAGGTCCACTCGAGGTAAATCCTCTCAGTACACCTATTAAATTATCTCCTCTCAATTCTGTACCTAAAAGAGACTCGAAGGAAAGAAGGATAATACTGGACCTCAGTCTCCCAAAGGGTAAGTCTGTCAATGCTCATATTCCCAAGGATACATATCTGGGTAAGCCCATCAATCTAACATATCCCAGAGTAGATGATCTGGTTGAGCTGGTCAAAGAGAAAGGTAAGGGATGTCATTTGTTTAAGAGAGATCTCAAACGTGCCTATCGTCAAATCCCTATAGATCCTGGGGACATTCATCTTGTGGGATATATGTGGAGTGGGAAAATTTATTTGGACAGAGTTTTATCCATGGGTCTTAGATCTGCAGCTTATATATGTCAAAGACTCACTTCTGCTGTCTCCTTTATATGCCTACAAGCCGGATATTACATCCTCAATTATTTGGATGATTTCGGGGGTGCCGAGGAGCAGTCAAAAAGCAAGGATGCATTCGAGTACCTAGGTGCAGTATTGCACAATTGTGGTCTAGTTGAGTCTTTAGAAAAAGCTGTTCCTCCCTCCACTAGAATGGTGTTCTTAGGAGTACTATTTGACACAGAAAACCTGACGTTAGAGGTACCATCATTCAGGTTACAGGAAATAATGGACTTGTTGGTGGTCTGGTTAGACAAAGAGGTGGCATCTCTCCAGCACATTCAGTCACTGTTGGGTAAGCTCATGTTCGTCGCGAGTTGTGTCAGACAGAGTCGTATTTTTATTAGTAGACTACTAAACTGGCTTCGCGATAGCACAAGGTCCAAAACAGACCAAAGGGTACCGTTAGAAGTAAAAAAAGACCTCCTGTGGTGGAAAGAATTTTTACTAGTATACAACGGTGTCTCTATGATGAGTCTAGAGGAATGGTCTGTGCCAGACGATGAGTTTGCCTCAGATGCCTGTTTATCAGGCTGCGGTGGTTTTTTCAAAGGGCAGAGTTTTCATACCAAGTTCCCAGATTTTATCCTTAAGCAGGATCTCAGTATTAACTGCCTGGAACTACTCACAGTAGTGGTATGTGCAAAGTTATGGGGACATAAGTGCAGAGGTAAGAAAATTGTCATTAATTGTGACAATAGTGCCTCTGTGGCGGTCATAAACTCGGGGAAGTCTAGGGTTCCTTTTATGCAAGCATGTCTTCGAGAGATAAGTTTTCATGCTGCAATTCATGAGTTTGAGTTAAGAGCCAGTCATATTGAAGGTGAATCAAACAGGATCCCTGATCATCTTTCGAGATGGCATTTGGACCCATCTCATGGAGACAAATTCCATGAACTGACCAAAGGAATGGAAATCACAGTCCATCCCCTGGAAGAGGATACCTTTAAATTCTCCCATATATGGTAATTGATAGGGGAAAGGTTTGACAGTGTATCATAAAATGTACAGAATTGTTTGTTTTAGTTTTATAGTCCATACCTTATTATTGTAGGGGCAGCCTTTAAGAAGTTAGAGGATGATTTAAAAATCTCCATGAAGGCGGCCTTTGCAGAAGGCACTTCCAGAAATTTAGAGATACAATGGCGGGCCTATTTTCTGTTTTGCGAGGCATTTCAGCAGGAAGCCTTACCAGCCAACACTCGAACAATATGTTTATATATCCAATTTTTGAGCCGAAGCTTGAAAAGTTCTGATTCTATACGTAACTACGTTAGTGGGGTGAAAATGCTTCATATTTTAACTGATACTGATTATTCAGAAGTCCGGCAGTTTGAGGTCAATCTTGCCTTAAGAGGTATAGCCCGTCTCCATCCCCACTGCCCAAACAGAGCCTCCCCCATCACACCACATATTTTGTTGGAAATTTCCAAGTTCATAGATTTTTCAGACCCTTTACTAGCGACCCTGTGGTGCAGTTTTTTGTTTTCCTTTTATCTAATGATCAGAAAATCCAATATCGTAAGTACGAATGGGGTTTTTAAACCAGAGGAAATTTTATTGAGGCAGGACATCACAGTTAAGGGAGACATGTTATTGATCTGTTTGAAATGGTCCAAGACTAACCAATTTGGTAAACGAAAACATATAATCCCACTCGTTAGGATTCCATCCTCTACCTTATGTCCGGTTCTAGCCTTTTACAACATGTGTGACTTAGTCCCAGCCCCAGTAACTGCCCCAGCCTTTTCCGTCCCGGGTCACCCACCGAAAGCTATTTCGTACTCTTTATTTCAAAAGTCTCTGAAACAGTTACTTGTCCAAACGGGTAGGGATCCAGCTCCTTTCTCATCCCACAGTTTTCGTCGGGGAGGGGCCACATGGGCCTTTCAATCAAATGTCACAGGGGAACTTATACAATTGCAAGGGGATTGGGCCAGCGACGCGTATAAAGTCTACCTTGACCACTCACTAAAACAAAAAATGCAGGTAGCCAACTTTGTAAAGCATTCCATTATTGCCTTTCAAGCAGCACATGACACTGTTCCAAGTTAAGATCATAATAGGAAATCACAGGTCTTCGATAAGCCGGGTAGATATTGTCCTCCTTTTTGGGGCCGGGGGCTTGGCGGTTAAATTTATGTTAAATTATGCTAATTCATCGCATGTCACTTGTATTTGTTGCTAGATGTGCTTGTGTATGTACAGTATATTTGTATCATTATTATTTGTCAAGATTTGGTAAACTATACTGATATTATTTGCTACTAATTCGCTATAATGTGAATTTGACCAATTGTGTATATATAATATTTAACTACTGTTTGATAAATTGAATGCTGCTTGCTTAATTGTTCCGGAAGTGAATGTTGCTTGCTAGTGCCGGAAGTAAATGTTATATGCTCAAAGTGCCGGAAGTGATTGTTGCCTGAATTTCTGTGTAGCCCTTTCACCCCAGTCAAATTTATGACAGTGAGTAATGGACTTGCAAATGGACTAATTAAAGTTTGATCCGGGGTGAAAGGGCTTTATGTATACATATATGTTGTTGTATTATCAATAAAACGGCCAAAAATCATATAACTGCTGTCTTTGTCATATATATATATATGGGGAAGTAATTTGCTTTTAAAGTAACAGCGAAGGTCACAACACAGCCGCCTAATGGAACAGTGGAGGACATAACGCAGCATATTACACATCCTAGTGTCAATACAGAAAAATTAGAGGTCACACAGAAGCCTAATTAGTTTGATGGACATTCTAGTGTCAGTACAGAAACAGTAGAGGTCAAACAGCAGCCTATTGCAAATCCTTCTGCTTCTGTAGGAACGAAAGTGTTTTATCCATATTTGGTTTGAATCATACTTGTGTAAAGGGGAAGCAATTTTGTATAAACCGTGGGTCTGGCCTCTCAGGAACCTGAGGGCCGGGGACCAATAAGCATTCTTGGTTGAAGGGGAACCAATTTTGTATAAACCGTGTTTGTGGCCCCCGTGGGCGCTGAGAGGCGCGGCCCAATAGGGGAAATATATCAAATTCTTTAAAATCCTTCTTCTTCTGTAGGAATGAAAGGAGTTGTTCCATGTTTGGTCAGGAGCATCCTTGGGTGACGGTAAAACCAATTTTGTATATAAATGGTGTGTCTGGCCCCCCTGGGGGCTGAGGGGTGGGACCCAATAGGGGAAATATAGCATTTTTTTAAATCCTTTTTTTTTGTAAGAATGAAAGGACTTGTTCCATATTTGGTCTGAAGCATCCTTGGATGAAGGGGACTAAATTTGGATAAACGGTGGGTATGACCCCCTAGGGGCATAGGGGTGGGTTTCTGTATGAAGTATGTTCTCGCTATATGGATATTTCTGAAATGTCATGTACTTTACAGCACCTACCATGTAGTGCTATATCTTTACTTCATACATATTATTTTAAACATATTTAGGTGAGCAATAAAGGCCCTTTTGGCCTCATGTGTTTATAAGGAAAAGTAAAACCATCAGTACCATCAAAGGAGCGAGGTTATCATGAGCAAGGGGCAGACGTCAGCTTGTCCATACGTGATGTTAGTTAGGTATTTGGAGTTGGCCGGTATTGATTTACAGTCCGACGATTTTATATTCAAACAAGTATACAAATCTGGCGGGGTGAGCAGTTCGGTACACAAATCAAAGCCTATGAGTTATACGTGCGCACTTGAAGCGGTTTCAAAAAGGTTTAAGTTGGTTACAGATTGTAACATGGGCTTGCAACATGGGCTTGCATTTAAGGTCGGGCGGTGACACCGCAGCAGCAAGTAGTGGGGTCAATGATAGGTGTTTTAAAAGTCATGGTCGATGAAAGGGCGATTTTAGCAAGGATGGCTACGACAAGGATTTCATAGATAAGAAAAAAATTAGACTCGTAATGTTCATGCTTTCAGACCACGTGGTTTTTTTTGTTTGATGTTTAATGTGTTTTTGTTTTTTCTTTTGACTTTTGTAAATATTGTTTTTTAGTTTAATTTTGCTTGGTTCTTGCCCTACTTTGTAATTGTTTTCTATGTCTTTTCGGCGAGCTAGCGGCAAAATAGATATTTGCATTGTGTTGGTATATTGAAGTCGCTCAGTGGAGCGAGACTGATTATTTTTATTTGTATATTAGGTATACTAACAGTTACACCTTCCCATCTCGTACAAATCGAATCAGATAGAAATGAAATGAAATGAAGAAACCGATAAGAAGTTACAAAATTGATTTATTGTAATAAATTGCTAAACCAGAGTTGCCGTCATACGTGAATGCGTTTACGTTCTTGCAGTTTTCTATATGATATATATAATGTTTTGCAAATGTTGGAAATGGAGGCTTACAATGCATGATAGAGTCGATTTCTTCAGTGTTAGTCTTTTACTATACGCCTTTGAATGTTTCTGTTGTTCTATTTCATGTTTAGTATCGAAAAATTGATTTTTTTTGTTATTGTGGAACATCAAAGTCATATACAACAAGAGGCTCATGGACCTTAACGGTCACCCGAGTCCTACAGTATTTATTTTTGTTGTTGAAATATGTACTAATTTGAGTAAAAAATAGTTAAGTATAATGTTAACTTAACTTTGTCAGGACCATGAGCTGATCATTCCTAGACCGATTTTCAGTGAGATCGGCCTATCAGAACTTGTTTTTAAGCTTGAAATAGGAATTTTCAAAATGGCGGCTGTGGCGGCCATATTGGATTTCTGATCGACCCGAAAAATAACAACACTTTGTAAGGACCATGAGTCAATCATTCCTACAAAGTGTCAGTTCAATTGGTCTAGCAGAACTTTACTTTTAAGTTTGAAATAGGTATTTTCAAAATGGCGGCCGTGGCGGCCATATTGGAATTTCGATTGACCCGAAAAATAACAAAACTTTGTCAGGACCATGAGCTGATCATTCCTAGACCGATTTTCAGTGAGATCGGCCTATCAGAACTTGTTTTTAAGTTTGAAATAGGTGTTTTCAAAATGGCGGCTGTGGCGGCCATATTGGGTTTCTGATCGGCCCGAAAAATAACAACACGTTGTCAGGACCATGAGTCGATCATTCCTACAAATTTTCAGTTCAATCGCCCAAGCAAAACTTGACTTTAAGTTTGAAATAGGTTTTCAAAATGGCAGCCGTGGCGGCCATATTGGATTTCTGATTGACCTGAAAAATAACAACACTTTGTCAGGACCATGAGCTGATCATTCCTACCAACTTTCAGTTCAATCGGCCTAGCAGAACTTGACTTTAAGTTTGAAATAGTTTTTCAAAATGGCGGCCGGGGCGGCCATATTGGATTTCTTATCGACCCGAAAAATAACAACACTTTGTCAGGACCATGAGATGATCATTCCTACCAACTTTAAGTTCAATCGGCCCAGCAGAACTTGACTTTAAGTTTGACATGTAAAATGTTAACGGACGACGGACGACAACGGACGATAACGGATAGCAATAGGTCACTTAAGCTAAAGTTCAGGTGACCTAAAAATGCTGTATAATCAACAGTTTTTTAGTTAGTCGTTCCGTCAGTAAGCGGCAAGTTAGAATCAAGTTCACCTGAAACCGAAACGGCGTTTTCGTGATAGAGATTACTCTATTTATCTATCATCTGTTTCCTGTCGAGAGGTAAGCGTGTTTATCGAAACGAAACAAAATTAAATCAAATCAAGCTTCAGCTACATAGCGTCGATATAATTATCCTATGTAGGCTTTTAGGAAATTGAATCATTGTCATAGATTGGTTTACCATAATCAATCCGAAGGTTCCAATAGTTTGTTATGGATAGTATCCTCAGTGTTCAGTTTTCGACGATCGTTTATGTCCAGGTCCTGCGCGCTTGCAAGTCATGTCAGGGGTGACGTCACAGAGGTTATGTTTTGATGCCGGCACACATGCACGATTTTAAAAACAAAATTCGGAAAATGATGATCCGTACTGTAAGTAACTACTATTTTTA